TTCAAAAACCCAGATTCCTCCTATCGTAGTAATTTAACACCCAAATTAAAAAAAAAAATAAAGAAGACTAAGCGGCGTTTTCTCGACTGCTTGCTAAAAATTCACGGCCAGTAAACTTTATCGATTGCTTATTATAAGCATGTGAGCGACAAATTTGCTTTAATTAACAGTCTAGAAAACGGCCCTAACTTATCTATAAATCGAAAATTTGTATGAAAATGTCACTTTATAGAACTCTTTAAACCTATTATGTTTATGAATAAGGCCATTAAATAGTCCTTAATTGGAGAACATTTTCGAACAAACCCTTCCAATGTGTTTTCACGAAACCTCTGTATGTAATTCAATTAAATTAAATTAATTAAATTGATAAAATAAATGAATAAAGAGGTTTAAGAAAGTATACTGCCGCAAATATTTTTGAAGATGGTTGCCGCCTGTTTGATAAATTTAATTCAGTTAAATTGATAAGAAATATAGATAGTGAATTAGTTCGCCTTGGAAGAAAGTGCGCGATATGTAGATCGAGTTATAAGGCAATAAATTAAAATCCCATGAGAAAGTCGATACTTTACCTATTTTCTAAGTACCTTCGAAAATATATTGAATATCGAGATATTTAAAAAAACCCACATTTATAGTCCGATTTGGTTCATATTTAGAAAGTTTGCTTTAAAAATATTTGTTCTTATTATTACTTACTTTTTATGAACGACCACAACAGTCAATTTTTTTTAAATTTCATTACAAAACTCTGGAAAATTCTAGAAATTTTAAACTTGTCAATTCGATTTCGTAGAAAAATTTTGAATATGCAATTTTTTAGCTCATTAAGTGCGCAATACCCTCGGCAAAGAAATTCTCAAAAATCAACGGAATTTTTTAGCGACTTGAGACTTAAACTTTAAATTTAAACTGTATACTCAAATTTTTTCTAAGAAATCGAATTGAAAAAACGAAGATTTCTTCGTATTTCTTGAATTTTCCCAAGTTATTTTTGATATTAAAAAATTTATTATTGTGGTTTTTGCTTTGCACGCTTCCTTAATTTCGTGTCAATATTTAAGCATACATTTAGTAGGCATTTTGTCCCCAACCATTGCCGTTGCATTCGCCATGTTGATTGTTTAATTTTTTAACGCCGCTAAATAAGTTTCACTTCAATTAAGTATGTTTGAGCAAAATCCTCTTAGACTTTGACTTTAGGCATAGTGTGGTTGAGGTCCTAAAATCGCTGTTCCTACAGTGTATATGTAATGAGCATTGAAATAAATTTCCATGCCGTAATTACCTTGGAAAATTTAGTCGATACTAATTTCATAACTCGCATGTCTACATAATATTGAGATAATATTCATTGTCATTGTTATTGGCAATTTTTGCATGTAAAAAAGCGAAAATTGCATCATCAATAAGCAAGTTAGAAATGTGATTTTGCAATGCCGAGAGTACAGTTGCTACTCTCTTTTTTTTATTATTTGCATCTTGGCACGGCAAATTCAGAATGTTCATCACTCAAACATTTGGTTTGCTGCCAAATAAGTATTTGTTGTACTGCAACACAAAAGTACAAACTACGAAACAAACTACTAATTGCAAGTTATTTTCTTTGCCGCTCGACTAAATTTTGCTTTTATGTATGCAGCACATACACTGGCGGCCGAAATAATAGACACGTCGTACTTTTAAGAATTATGGCTATATTTATTTAGTTTATTTTATGTTTAATATTTTTTTTTTTATGAAAGCCTAGGTAGTTATACAACAAACATTATTTAAATCCGCTTTTACAACTTAAAAAAAATTATAATAATTCGAATTTTTAGAAAAATTTTGGTATGCAGTTTTGTAGCCCATTCAATTTTATAATAAACTGCAAGTTTCAATTGGCTACAAAATACCGTTGATTTTTAAGATTTTTTTTGCTGAAATTCTGAATAAAAAGTTTAAAAATTTGGTGAAAATTGGTCGAATTTTTATAATTTTTGTGAAAAGTTTGAAATGGGGATTTATATGGTGTTTGTTGTATAACTAGCCAAAACTCTTGAAGGTAAGGTGAGTCTATTATTTATGCCGCCAGTGTACAAATTTGTTTAGCTGCACTCAAGTGAGTCGGTGATGAGTCGTACGTCAATTGTGCGGGTTATTTATAAGCATTATTTTAAAAACAAACAAATAAAAAAATTGCATCTTGTTTCCGTCGGCAAACGCTGATTGGCGGCATTCTGACGCTTAGCTCCACCGTTGATGATTGTTGGCGCACCGATTGCACGGCTTGGCTTTCCAGTACAATTTGCGATATAAATATTCTTAACAGCTGAATTTAAACAATATCAATTGAATTTTACGCTCACTTCCTTCATTCACAACTTTACATGATGCTTGCAAAATTAATTTGTGTCAGCTTGTAAATTAATTTTCCACACATTTTTTTTCGTCTTCTTCTTCTAGAACTGCTGGTACAGTTGGTGCTGTTGTGACTTGTCCTTTGGAAGTGGTTAAAACACGCCAACAGAGTTCAACTTCTTTTATCGCGCCGACACGTCTTGAACCGGCAAGCTCCACAAATGGCTCCAGCGAATTGTTACGACCCGAACAGCGACGTAAATTGAGCACGACAATTTTGCGTAAGAGGTCACAGCCACAGGTGATTGGGGGTGTGCGTAGGGTAGTACCAATTTTATAATATTTTTTTTTTTCTTTTTACAAGAAATAAAGTACTCGCTCCTAGCTACTTGGCAAGTGGAATTATTAATAGTGGTATTCATCTAAACCGATAACTTTATCAAGCAGATAATCTTATAAGTTTATGTACTCTGTTACATGAACGACCCACACTCTCTTTTCGTTTACACATTCGACAATAGTCGTGTTTTCTTTGGTTATAAAGCGCAGTGTCACTAACTTTATACTACTAGCACGGGGATAAAGAAATTATAGAAACTACCTAACTAAATTGGAAAAAATTATATTTACGAGATATCTATTTAAATAAATGTACATATAACATAAAGGCTATTTATTTGAAGCAAGTTATAAGAAACAATGGCAGAATGTCTGTTTGTGTATGAATTCATTTGTCACGGCTACCAAACTTTGCGAATTATCAGTGAAACAAACAAACAGACGGGATAATAACTGAACCAGATCACTATCAGGATCATATCGTTGTTGAATTCGCGTGCAAAATTTGTATGCGGATCCCGATTATTGCCTAAGAAAACATAGCTAGAGTTGCGACAGAGTTGCATTGTCTTCAGTTTATCAAGTTTATTCAGTGAAATCGCTGGATAAATTTATCAGAAATGTGTAAACGAGTTTCCATACAAATTTTGACAGTTCATTTATAAGGTTTACACAATTATAAGTTTATACGGTTTACAATGCATTTATAAGGTTTGATGAATACCCTTAATAATATTTGATTTTCGTTTTTTTATTTTTACACGCTTTACAGATAATGGCTATCTCACATTGCGGCATCTCATCCACCTCCACAAAATCAATGAGCATGGTGCAATGTTTAAGGTAAGTATTGGAAATTTAGATGACACAATTTTTTATTAAAGAAAATGGGTTGCCAAATAAGGGTGATATTTAGCTGAAAAAAATTCTCATTAACCCAGCAGAAAATTTGTAATTGCTTCTTGTATGTACAAATGAACATGTCTGGACTAGCTTCGGGTCAAGTTCACAAATATTTTAGGACAATTTTGGGACTAGTCCTGGACTGTTTCGAGACTAGCTCAGGACTATTTACGAATCATTCGGGACTAGTTTGGGATCATTTTGGGCTGATTCGGAATCATTTGGGTGACGTTTCGGGACCTATTGGGTTCATAACCACGTCGGGACTATGTACATACATAGTTGTGGACCATTCTGGTCCTTTTTCGGGACCGTTTCGGGACTAGTTTGATATAATTTTGACATTAGTAAGGGACCATTTCGGGACCGTTTCTTCGAGATCCTTTAAGATCCTTCGAGAACCACTTTAAGATAACTTGGGGCAATTTTGGGACTAGTTCGGAATAATTTTCAGGTTAGATCGAAACCATTTACGAAATGTCTCTGAAATAGTCCTGAACCATTTCCGAAGTGGCTATGAAAAAGTCGTTTACTGGTCCCACTAAAATGAATAAAATGAAATGAAATGTTAGACGCTTTAATTTTTTTTTTTAACTTGAATAATTTTCGAAAAAAAAATCACTCTGAAGTAAACAACCTTTTTTATATTTTATTTATTTTTACTATTTTATACAGATAATTAATTTTTGTTTGCCTTTTTTGCAGACACATAGTACAAAATGAAGGCCCACGCGCTTTATTCAAAGGTCTGGGACCGAATCTTATTGGTGTGGCACCTTCACGAGCGATATATTTTTGCACCTACTCACAAACAAAGAATTTTTTAAATAGTGTAAGGTAAGTAAATGCTTGATTAAAAATAATTAGATAAAAGTCCACGAAAGAATAAATATACGGTGTCATATAAATTCGCATTTTACGCTTAAAGGCGAGTAGAGAGTAAAATTTTGTAAACGAAATTTTTTCTTTTAGAACTGAAGAAGTTACGAAAAATTAAAGTACCTTATCTCACCCTCAAAAATAAGAATAAAGTGCTGAGCTTTTCTACACCCTATAAAAAATCCCACGATTTGCACCGTTTTTCGAAGGGTGTGAAGAAACAAGAATCGTTTTAGTTTCATTGGAAAATTAAATTTTGTACAAAAAAAGAAGCACGCCTCGAACCCATTTTTTAACCAGTTGGCCAAGGATTCGTTGTATAAAGAGTCATAAGGTTTGTCATATACCGGGTGAAGCAAAACGTTTTCATTTTCGCGACCAAGAAACATACATAATTCATTTATATACATACAATCTTAGTATATGCCTTGGCATGTATGTTGGTAATTTATAACTTAAAGATTGCGTGTTGCTGAGCAAGGAATTCGCGACGTAAATATCTTTTGGGTCCCCAGAAAATGTTGTTGTTGCTGTAATAGAAATTATCCGGGGTTTCGCAGATTTTTGTCGCGCAGACCCATTTGCCAAAGGAAACAACTGTTCGAAAAAGAGTCGCTGTGCTAGATTGGATATCAGTTTCTTCAATAAAAGCACTACAAATGTGTAACGAATTGTCTAGCCAAGGAAGGACATTCGGTCAGAATGTACTCCGACATCTTATTGTCTCCAAGACACATGCCGAAACTAGTGACAAGAATCGTAGACATGCACATCTCGGATTGTTTTGTTACACAAAACTTTTTGCAGAGAAAGCAGAGTGCCTATCATCCAGAAAGATTTACCATCCATGCTCTTCAGAGTCTTACAAGGAAAATTGGGAAGTAAATGGATAACAGTGAGGTGGCGGTATGTTGCTTCCTGGACATAGTAGATCAGAGATTGGTTTAAATACACCATTTCTAACCTCCTACAAAATGCGCCGAACATAGTCGTTGTTGTTGTTGTAACAGCCTACGAAATTCTCTAAAGGATTTTTGGAAAAAGATGCTGGAGTGACAGTTCTTGACCAGTTATAAATCTGGGTCGTTCCAGTTACATTTACGCAACTGTCGTGGGAATCCGAACATAGTCGCCAAATGGTGCAGTAAATCGAGTTAAACATTAACCCCAGGAAAACTAACACGAATCATTATGGTACAAGAAGGAACAAATTACTAGAATAATTCCATCAAGGAGAAAAGAAAAGAAGAATAAAAGTCATTCGGTAGTTATTCTTGCTGACAAGCTCTCATTGAATCCGCACCTGTATACGTTGATAAAGTTATCCAAATGCCACGGCTTCCATCTAGACCTGCCGGAGTCGAATAGGGGAGCATAAATGGGACATAAGATCCAAAATTGTCAAGGTGCAACTGGGTGACCTGCACCCTCCTCTAAACCTAAATCTAGGTAACTATGTAGTAAGTTACTTGATCTTAGCTCTACTAAAACGTTACTGAATTCCGTGCTTGCTTACTCAGTATATAAGGGATTTGATTCGGACTAAGGGCACCAGTTTAGAGAGAGCGCTGTAAGCCTCGTAAAAAGGTCATTTTGTCAATTCGAACAAATCGGAACTCATGCTGCCAACCAAAAAAAAACAAAAAAAAAATACAATTAAGATCCCCTTCCTGCAATGGAACGACTCTCACAATATTATTTGAAGTGAAGGACCTGAGCGTTGTATTAGACACCCAACTGAGCTGGAAGACAAATATCGAGAAATGCATAAAAAAGAGCATTTACTTATAACCTTTAATACATAAAAGAGGATTTTCAGCAGAAGTTTAGGACTAAGTTCAAAGCTTATCCTTTGTCCGATATTAATGAGGAGGAGGATGCGATTAATGTGATGCTGTAATAATTGCTCGTAGACCACCACATACGTGGAATCGCAATCATCGAACTCTGGAATCAGACCCTAATAGTGGCATAGCGGTACTCTTGATAAGCTTTTATAATCACGGAAACAATCAAACTACATATCTCCTATGTTGAACTTTAAGAAAGAACTTTCAGGTGATCTTTCATTTTGACCGAAGTTGAAATAGAGCCAGGATAATCAATGAGAATTTTACTGGTACGTATACTGACAGCTACGGTAAAGGTGGGAAGGTATTATCTGAGATGCTGGATGTGTCTTTCTGGTTCCGAAAATCTAACTTTGCTGGCATTGTCCAAATGGAAGTACTGGGGATTTAGGGGACCTATGGAGTAGTGAAACAAACCGTGAAAGAATACAAAACCGATACATTTTCTCAGATTGGCGGGCAGCACTAGTGGCTACTGGCATCACCAGTAGGTAACTAATTCTAAAGTAGGCAGAGATTGCAATTGGAGAATCAATGAATATCTCACTCGTCTGCGTTCCCGACCATTGATACATACATAGCACGGGCCAATGCATCTCTTCAGGAATTCGATGGCGAGGCAGTAAACTGTCTATTCGGAGTAATCAAGTGGGTGGAAACTACAGCGTGGCGACGAATAACTGTTACCCAGGTTTTTTTGAGAAATAAAAGGGTCCTTTAAAGTTTTTGCGAAAAAAGTATTTTATTGATAATTTTCCACAGATTTTACTTTAGTTGCATTAATTAGTTTTTAAATTTTAATCCTTATTTATATTTGCCAGCAGTGTAAACTTTGAGAG